GGACTGACCTTCCCATGGGAGTACCTGGGTTGGTGATGGGCACGGAGGAAACCCAGGGTGCTTTGGTTCTCATCACAACAAAAAGAACTTCAGAAACCCATGAGGACGCACGAATCGCAGATACTCGTGTTTACAAGCCAGATCTGAACACCAGTACCCAAATCCTTGTGGCACCCAGCCCACCCAACCCCTGGATGCTGCGTGGGGGGTACGTCAGGTGGACCCAGCCCTCAGCTCAAAACCATCAGTGCCAGCCCCAGCCAGAGAGAGATTAGAGCTACCGGCCCAGTCTTAAATCTAAAATCATTTATTCTGGATTATTTTTTGCTTTTCCTTTGCCCCCCCCGCTATGTTTTCAAGGTTTGTTCCCTCACCAGCAAGGCTCAGATTCAGTTAGACACAAGGTCCCTGCATCCTCCGCAGTGGGGATGGGCCCCACAGACTCATTTCACGAGTGGGTCGCCCGCTGACCCCGAGGTCTCCAGATTACCACAGGCTGAGCTAATGCTGAAAGCTCCCAGACAAGCAGCTTTCTCAGGAAGTGCCGTCCTGGAAAATGCAGCCCGAGAGAAAATAAACTCCCCTGAGCCACAGAAAAAGACCCAAGCCTGCAATTTCTTCCTTGCTGTCTGGAAAGGGCTGGGGCTGTGTTTTCCAAAAGGTTAAAACACAGGGTGGGGATGTTATTTTAGTGAACGGCTGAGCCCCTTCAAACCTCCCGGCAAACGGAGACGTCCCCGAGTCCTGTTTGTGCAGATGCAGAGCTGGGCTGGGCTCCAGGCCACGTCCTCCCCCCGCCGGGACGGCTCCGGGCTTTGGAAAAATTACGCACAGGGGGGAGTGGAAAAGAGGCTGGTTTGCAGGTGGTGCCGGGTTATTCCAGGCATGGAGCGCAAACACAATTGCAAATGAATGAAATTCCCTCCTCCCGCCCCCCCAACCCCATCCAGAAAAAAAAAAAAAAAAAGCTGCTCTCTGCTGGTAATTAAGGCTGGGGATTGCTGGTGGGAGGCAGAACGGGAGGAGGCTGTGGATTTTGGCTGCCTGTGGAGGATGGGGCCCTCCGTCGTGGCGGGCACCTTCGCGGTGACGGAGTTTTCTGAAGCTCCACGAAGCTCCAGGAGCTGATTCAGGGCAACAAGCCTGCCTGAAGCTGTGCTTCATCCTTTGCTTGGCTTCCCAGAGCTCAGCCTCCCCTCGCTCCAGCCTCGGCCAGCATCAACCCTTCCCCCCCTGCAGCCCATCCCCAGCTGCACCCCAGGGTCCTGGCGTTCACTCACTGCTGACAAATTCCCTCTTTCCGGCATCCGCAGCGGCTGGACTTGCCCCATCAGCCACAGGTCTGTGGGTACAGCTGGGGGGTGCCAACCTGGGCTGCCAAAAAGGGAGGAGAGTCGAACACGGAGTCTCCCTAGAAAAGTACACCGAGTAATTGTTGATGGCTCAGCCTTGTACGAAACAGCTTTAAAAGTAAATAATTGCCTGCTCCAGGTAGTAAGGCAGGATGAGGGGACCTCTCTGTTTGACACAGTCATCCAACAACCGCAGGCACGAAGCATCAGGGCTCTGCTCGCTGCCTTGTCTTGTTCAGCAGCTGACAAAGGCACCCATCGGGTCATTAACTCGACTTTCCCAGTCAGTTTTGCTACCAGGAGGACCATCTATTATTCTTACTACCCAGGGAACTTTGCACGCGGGTCGCTCCAGCACGCCATTATTTGGCTGTGTGTAATCAGGCCTCCCACGAGAGAGCTTCGCTCTCTTGGTTTGGTGCTGGGAGTGTGTGTTTGCTTAATGGTCTTTCAACACCGGGTCACTTTTCCGTTGTGTCTTCCCCAGCACAGGACTGCTGATAACAGCTTTGCACAGCGTTACGTGGGAGCCGCAGCCTTGCTGGGTGACCTGGTGCTCACTGGGGAGGTGCCGTCATCGCTGAGCACAAAGTGGGGAACCTGAGATAGACCCCAAAGAGCTTCCCCAACCCCACAGAAGGTCTTGAGGCATCTCAAAGGGGACCATGACTCCAAGCTGAACTGTCCTCCTGGGTTGGCAGGTCCCTCCTGGCTCAGAGGAAGGTTTGCCAGTGGTCTGTCGCCCATCCTGAGATCCCTTCCATCTCTCTGTGGCCAATGGGTGACGTGCTCGTAGCTGATCTACCACCTCAAGTCTACATTATAAAACTGTACACTGACAAAGAGAGAGCCTTTGGGAAAAGAAGGAGCTTCAGTGTCTCAGGGGGCTCCTGGTAGAGCCTGTGGAGAGACATCTGCATCTCTAATACCCGCGAATCCCCCCGGTGTTAGATGTCTAGATGCCATCCAACGCTCCGGCACTGCTCCCTTCTCTTGCCGGACTACCAGAGGTGCTGGGGACAACCAGACTTTGTCACCCCCGTGGAAGCTGGTGAAACATGAGCGGATCACCCGACTCGATGACACGCACTGCCAGCTTCAGGCGAGGAAATCGTGACTTTTCGGCACCGGGTCTGTTTTGGAGCTGAGCCTCCCTGCTGATGCTGGCCTCCCATCAACAGTCCCCTTCCTGCTGGGGTCTTGGTGTGTGGAGAAGGGTGACCGAGCTCGCGGGGGACCCTGTCTCCTGCTGCTTTCCCACCTCTCCGGGCCAGCTGCTGACTTCCAAAGATGCAAGCCATGCTTTGGCATCGCAAGCCCAGAGCTCGACCCGAGCGCAGATGTTACGCCACAGCTCTTCTTAACCCCCTCCAAGTCCTTCATCCAAGATCTTCCTAATTATCCGCGAGCACGCAGAGCTGCTGATCTTATCGTTGGTGGGACGTACAACTGCGCAGAAGGTCGCAGTGACCACTGCGAGCCTGGGGGGTGTCTAATTTTGGCCACGAGCCCACGGGGAAGCCTCCTTTGCCCTGGGTGGGCTGGGGAGCCATGCGCATCTCCCCCTTAGGAAACCTGCAGCCCCTTCTTGGTGGCTTGTACAAAAAAAAATCCTCCTTTCTGCATGTAGTTATACTCCCTCCTGAATGTTTTATCAAAAGATATTTGGGGGGGGGGGGAGGGGAGAAATGATTGCTTTTGGTGGAATTTTTAGTGGATTTTTCATTATTAACTGCATAAAGAAACCCAGAGTCTCTGGATTAAAAAACTGGGGAGAAGGAAGGGAAGGGAAGGGAAGGGAAGGGAAGGGAAGGGAAGGGAAGGGAAGGGAAGGGAAGGGAAGGGAAGGGAAGGGAAGGGAAGGGAAGGGAAGGGAAGGGAAGGGAAGGGAAGGGAAGGGAAGGGAAGGGAAGAGAAAAATAGAAGGGTCAACCTTAGCTAGAGCTGATGGCAAGTAGATCAAAGCTTTTTAGTTCATGGAGGCTTCCAGTGTTCCTGCATCTCCTGCAGGCTCTGCCTCTTTCCTTAAATCACCTGAATCCTCCTTTAAGCCTTGCTTCCAGCAAGACCCGGTGTTACAGAGGGCCAGGGTTGGGATTTCTGGACCCCAGTACTGACTGATTAACCTGTGAACCTGGACAGCAGCTGTTGGTTAGAGACCGAGCTTGCCCACGAGTCACAGGAGCCTCCTGGGAACTTCTGAAACAGCTTCAAAGCAGAAGAAGATGCTGCTGCAGGATTCAGCAAAGGTGAGGAACCCGGCCAGAAAGAGCAGGGGAGGTGAAGGTTGGCCCTAAGGGGCAGCGGCAGAACCCCTGTGCGGGGAGGAGGGGATGCCCAGCCAGAAAACTGGGCTCTCCCAGGAGGAACCAGCACGGCTGGGGTGTCTGCCAGTAAACCCGAGAACAATGGAAGGTTCCCTGACTCCTGCCAACCCTCTGCTTGGCAGGAGACTGGGCGGCTTGTCCTTCATTTACACGACACTGAGGGGTGACCTCAGCGCCCGCAGAGGGAGGGAGGGAGGAGAACTGCCTACGGGGAAGGTCCCTGGTGCCAAGACCTCACCACTCCTGGCAAATCCAAATATATCCCATCACATCCTGGCTTTCTGCAGCCTGCAAAAGCGCGGTTTGCTGGGAGGCAGAGTTAGGAACACTAAATTGAAGGGGGGGGGGGGGGGGAAGGGAGGGAGGGACGTAAGCATGGAGATATTTGGCACGAGACACCAAGCCCTTATCATAACCTCGATGTGCTCGGTACGTGTTCAGCTTTCCAGCGTGCTGAGAAGTACTTTCCTGGCCTGTTTTGCTAGTGTGACTTCGAGAAGACTGGGAATCCTTCCAAACAAGGACCTGGGGACTTCAGTTCCCCTGGAGCAAAATGATGGTTAAAAGGCCGCAGCGTGGGGCGTCTCATTGGGTTTTTTGTTCCCCTGGAGTTTTGTGTTAAATCCTCTCCAGGCATGCAAAGAACAATAATATTTTGGGAACGCCCATTGGGAAACATTGGCTGTACCCTCGGTTTCTCCAGGTTTGGAGCCATTCCATTAAAGTGACCGAAGTCAAACGAGATGTTTCCATTTACACAGATGAGAAGCTGGAAACCCAGCTGCGTTGTACGTGGATTTAAAAAATGCAAGTTCTACAGAATTTAAAAAAAAAAAAAAAAAAAAAAAGAGTTACAAATGTCAGGGCAGCTCTGTCTCTCTGCTTGCTCCAAAATCCCTGGTAAACTCAGGAGCTCTTGGCTCACATGGTCCCCTTCCCCTGCAACGCCTGCTGTGAAATATCAGGGAGCAGCCGAGGTTTGGCCCTGCTTTTTTAGGGTGCTGGACTCACCGCCGCAACATCCCCACGAACAGCACGTGCCGAACAAATCCCTGGTGACCCCAAGTCGCCCAGGAGCCAGGGGAGACACCCTGTCCCTGGGGACACTTTGGGACAGGCAGCGTCGGTGGCAGAGGGCTGCGGAGCGGAGCAGAGCGGGGGGGGGAAGCTTTGCTGACAGGAGGGTTGCAAAACAGTTTCCTGTTTACTTGGCTCTTACTTTTTTTTTTTTTTTTTTTTCTCAGTTAACTACGGACTCTACCTACTAAAAGATCGATTTTACCAGCAATGCAGGGGAAAGCCCTGCCCCCCCCCCCCCCCCCCGCCCCGTTCCTCCTGCCTCCAGCCAGCCCAGCCCGGAGAGGACACGGCTACACACATGTGCCCGTCCTCAGCATCCCCGCACCGTCCGCCTGCAGCTGGAAAAGACCATCCTCCTGGGTCCTTAATGGCATTTAATCCTTTGAGTTGATTAAAATAGTATATTAACTGGAAGACTTGGGCGTAATGGGAATAACAGACATACGCAGGGCGTAAATGCATGGTGAGTGGGGCTTCACTACATGAGCTATAATCTGTTGTTCTGCTGTAGAGGGGAAGGATTAGAGCATTATTGTTTTTTTTTGGGGGCGGGGGGTTTGAAAGCCTCAGTTGATCCCCAGCTGAGGCGAAGCAGTGTAACTCGGTGGGTTTCTTATTTATGCTGCGGGGACTAGAGGCTATTTTAAAAGAGGTTGGTGTACGAGGGTGAAGTGACCTCTCGGTGCTGGCTGGCTTCGTGTGCCTGGGTGGGGAGCAGATGCGGCCGGGCTGTGCCTTGCCTTGCCCTGGGCCAGGTGGCTCAGAGGCGAGGGAGGTGCTGGGGTATCTCTTTCATCACTCCCCCCAGGAGAGCTCGGCTCCGCAAACCCCCGGGGTGGGGGGAGCAGAGCCTGGTGTGGCCAGCAAAGCGCAGACCCACCTGGCTGCGCGGGGACGTGCAAAGAGGATCCTTGCTCTTCTCCCTTGCTCCTGTTGATTTTCTCCGCTGCAATACGCCCCGCGGAGCCGTCAAGAGCAGGAGCGCTGCTTTGGGCTCGCTAGACCTCGTGTCTTTGGGCCACGGAAGCCATCAGCTTCTCTGGCTACAAATACCTGCTAATCTGGTATCGATAAACACTGTTGGTCTGGCCAAACCCCAAAAGCGGGTTAAGGAAAACTTGAGGTTTTGATTTTTTTACAGTTTCCTTTATTTACTTTTTTTTTCCTGCCTTTGAGCCTTAAACATTTACGCCTTTGTTTGGTTTTTGGATCTGAGCCCTCCTTTGTCCCGGAAAAGGCCCCCGAACTAAAAACCCAAACTAACTTGAAAGCCGAAGGGCTGGTGAAAGCGCAAGCTCCGTCAAAGCCAGGATGGCCGAGGCAGCCACGCAGTGGCTAGTGGAAGTCCACGGGCCTGGCCTCAGGGGATGGGCAGCACCCCGGCTCTAGCAGACCAGCACAGTAGGTGCATGAGCTTTGGGGTCGGTAGGACAGGGTCACCCGCTCGTACCAGCACAGAGGAGTCGGGCACTGCCACGGGGTGGTCTTTGCAGACGGTAGATAGCAGCCCCCCGCTCCCCGAGGAGGCTGAGCTGCACCCGTGGGCACCGTCCCCTCTTTAGGGAGTCTGTGTCTGTTGGGACACTGGCAGGGAAGGAGGATCCACCTCTGCCTTGGCCCTGCCCCGCAGGGAGAGCTTTGGAGGAGCAGCCACCCCTCTCCAGGGACCCCGGGAGCAGGAGAAAGGAGGGTGCAGGCTGTGCGTCTGGGGCGAAAAGCTAGCTGCGAGGGGATTTTTGGAGAGGAGGTGGTTCACCTGCCACCAGTGCCCGTTCGTGGGGTGCAGTCAGGGGGAGGACGGTGGTGGCCCCTGCTAGCGCTGGCAGGCATCTCTCCTTAGGGACAGGGATGTTCCTTCTGTCCCTAAAGGGTACAACCCACCCCCAAACTGCTCCTTGTCACGTGCCCAGCCCTAGTTTTGAGCGGGGATGGAGAAATTTTAAAATGATGGAAGAGTGGTATGGCAGAGGTGCCCACCAGAGGAAGGACATCAGCCGTACCCCCCCGCGGTCCTGCTCGGGGCCACGGGCTGCAGCCAGGACCCGATGCTGGGGAGTGCGGAGGGGGCTAGCAAAGCCTCAAGCTGGTTGTTTTTATTTCTTCTTTATAAGGCAATGTTCCCTCGTCCTCCGCCGGGAGCTCGCAGGGCTGTTCCTGCCCGTCCCTCCTCCGTGTCCCGCTCTGCTAGGAGCACCGAGGTTTTACAGCCTCCTCCGTGGAGCCCAGGGCTCGAGGGCCCCTCTGGAAGCCCCGGCTGGAGGGCGATCCCCCCTCCCAGGCTCTGGTGGCCCCGTGGCCGGGCTGCGTGGTGGCTCTGCAGCGGTGGGACGTGCAGAAATCCCCAAGGTTGCTCTCAAGACTCCCGTGCCCCCCCACTGAGCTTTACTCTGGATTTTATGTTCCCTTTCCTTAAATAAAGAAAAAGCCCTTGTTTTTCGAATCCCACTCGTTTGTCCCAGTAATTCCCCGGCTGCCTCTCCATTAAGGACTTTTCTTTCTGTCAAAGGTAGCCCTGCCTCCCCGTAGATCTGAGGGGAAGGCAGACGCTTGCTGCGGGGTTTTGTGGATGGAGCAGCTCTTTTGCAGGGCTGGTTATCCTCCGTTAACACCACGGTGCGTTCACATCTCCCAGACTGCTGCCTGCCTCACGGTGCAGCTCCGGCTCAGCTGCCTTGCCAAACTCTTGGGATTGCCCTTAACCTCCCGAATCTCCGGGGCTGTTTGACCACAATTTGACTTGGTCAAACTATGCTGGAATGAAGGAAAAGCTGGTACAGGCAAGCTGCCAGCCGAGGCAGAGGTGCAATGAATGCTCTACAGGCTCAGAGCATAAGCCTTAAGTATCTGAGCATCCTTGATCTCCCAGCTCTGCTCAGTACCTCCACCTGCCTCCACAGGGGACCTGTAAATTAAACACGAACTTGACTCTGGTGCACTCCAGGGCTCGCCAGCTCCTGCTCAGCAGGCTGCTTGCCTGCGGAGCTTGCAGAGGGCAGGGAGTCCTCAAAATCTGTTTTCTTGTGTGGTTTTGCTTCTTAAAGGTTGAGCTCACGCTTTGGGCAGGGGAAGGGGGGATTTGCATAGGTTTGCTATACCCCAAAATATATTTTCATGAGACTGGCAGTCTCCTAATGGTTGAAACACTGCCAGGTTGGAGTGAAACTAGCCTGCAGATTCAGGTCCTTTAAGAAAAGGGAAGAAACACGCTGTCTGAGGTTACACAAACCTCTGTCCTTAAGAAATTGAGCTAAAACCATCTAGGCATTGGGGACAGCTTCCTCAATGTGGAACAGACCTGTGCTTTTAGAAAGGGCTGAGAGGTTTGCAAACTGGGCTCACAGAAGGCCGGGAAACGGAGGATGTGCGTCCCAAGTTGCATCTGAAACTGGGATTCCACTGGTGAAATGTCCCCAAAACCTACAGCACCCTTCTGCGTGCTTGTGGTGGGAGGGGGCTGCTCCTCCCAGCCGCGGTCCCTGGGGTGGGCTCTGAGGTGTCCACCATCAAGCTCTCCAAAAGACCCTGGGCAGGGGATGGAGCTGAGCTCCTGGGCAGGCTGCACCAGCCTCTGCCCTCTGCCCGTGGTGGCTTTGGTGGTTCCTCCCATTCCACAAGGGTGGCCTGGGCTCAGCTGCGGCACCAGCTGGGGAGAACGTCCCAAGGACCCCAGGGCTAGAGAAGGAGGATGGAAGGGGATCCTCTTCCCCGCCTTCCCACAGAGGTCCTCTGAAAGGTGATGGGAGAGGAGCACGACAAGGCCAGGCTCCATCTCCCTCGCTCCAACGACCAGGAACATCAGATCATCCCTGCCTGCTGGCCCCGATCAGCCCTTGCGAGAGCTCCTAAATTAATCCGGGGAGGCTGGGCTTGTGCAGCTCCTCCGGTAACACCACCCCACTGATTTGTGCTTTCTATACAAATGCTCTTCTTCACGCTGCTGGCAGGAGAGGCTTTTTGTGTCCCTGATTAGAATTGCAGGAGAGGATGGCACTTGAGAGTATGCAGTAAAGAGCTGTGTTTATCCTCTATAATTGCCGCATGCTCTTCTGCCTCCTGCTGAACTACATCATCCAATTTCGGGCTGAGTCTAGGAAGCCGTGGGGCTGACTTCAGTTTTCTGTGCGCTAGAGTAGTCTGTGAACAAGAAGAAAATTTATTTCTGATGGCAGATTTGTCCTGCTGCCCTGGGGTGTTGGGGGGCTAACATGCCCTTTAGGCATTTAGTGGACTCTGCATCAGTGTATCTGGCCTGGAGAAGGGTAAGGAGGGAGAGGGAACCGGCATCTGGGATGCAGAGGTTGTGCTGTGGACTCAGATATGATTTAGATGACATCTGGTTTAGTCTATTTGCAAGAACATATTTCAGTCAGATACTATACAGCTCTCCCAGAGGCGTGTGTGTGTGTGTGTGTGTGTGTGTGATAATTCCCAGCCATCCGCCAGCTAGAACTAAGCAAAACTTTTTTAACTGCAAGAGCCTTTTAAGAAAACCATCTGCACGTCACGGAGTCACAAAGCCTAACCTGCTTTAGCTCAGAACAAGCTATCGGCACAGGTTGAACAAGCTTCACTTGGCAAAGCTCTCCGCCAGCTGCCGGAACAGCTTCTCCAACCCAAAGCATCTTCTGGCTCTCGCGTGTTCCAGCAAATGCAAACACTGACTGCTCAGCTCCATTTCCCCTCCTGCTTCTCCCAGGAAGGAGGCCCAGAAGTCTCTCCACGGCTGGTCAGAGCAGAGCACCGCTCTGCATATTGCCTCGCCTCCTGCACATGGCAGCCAGCTGGTGTCACCTGCTAAACTGAGCCTAAAAGCTTGTTTTGTTAAACCCCTTCCTACAGAAAAGCATCCAGGCTGCAGTTTCTGCACCAAGAATGGGGGAACCCCCCATCTCTCTGATATTTTTTCTCAGTGGTGAGCACCCGTGCTGATAAAGGCAGTTTTCTGGGGGTTTTATTTTTCAAATTAGAAGAGGTTGGTTCCAGCCACTGCCGCTTCTACCTTTCCTGTGCTTCTTGATCAATAATTTCAACGCTGCAATCAAGTCAGATTCCATCATTGTGGTGTGCTGAGCTGCCTGGGCTTCTCAGGTCTCCCATGGCAGGACGGGATTTCTAGGCTGGGGCCAGGGATTTCTGTGCCTCCCCTCTAGCCTCTCGAATCTTCTGGACCCCACAGGACCTTGCTTGTCCTCATCCCAGTCCCCCAGTATTGATCTGCTCCATCCGTATTGCCTCCTGGCTGCTGGCAGGGTGGGGAGAGCTCAGCTGCTGGGCAGGGCAGGACTTTTCTGCCACCCAAAGGGGTCCCCTTTGGGGAGGGGCTGAAGGCAAACCGACGAGATAAAATGCTTTCAGATGTTCTCTCGGGGTGGCAGAGGTGTCTGATGGCGACAGACGGGATTTGGCTTTTCCTTAGGGGGACAGCTCTGTTCCTGCAGGCTTTGTGCAGAATGAGACGCCGAGCGAGCAACCGGCAATTTGTGGGCAGGGTGCGCGCCTGGGAACGCAGACCCAGCCCGAGGTCGTGTTCTGCCTCAGTTGAACGAGGGCTATCATTTTGAGATGGATGATTTTCTGGGGATCTCTAAATGAAAGGGTGAGTTACGTTACCCCTCAGAGGGAAAACAAGCTTTGAAAGCTCAAAGCCCTTTATGAAAACACTCCTCGGTTTCGGGGGGGCTCAGCAGCTGCTGAGCTTTGCAGAAGGACCGGGCGCCTTCCCAAAGGTCGCTTTCTCCCACCACGGTCCATGCTCTTGCACAAGGGACCTGGGGCCACACGACAGCCCCGTGGGAGGCTGTGGGCTTCTTACGCTAGCCTAAAAACCATCCTCAAGGCCAAGGTAGTCTGATATCTGGCGATGGACCAGCCCTAGCCTAGACACAGTCCCCACCTCTCGTTTGCAGCAGGACTCCTTCAGAAAAGCCGATGACTGCTCAGTGCAGGCCAGATTAAAACAGCCACAGGGATCCCTCCTGGCCCTGGGCTTTTGCAGAAGCGTGATTAATCCCCCCAGTGCACGTGCAAGCCATTCTGGCTTACTCCAGGCGTGCACTGCAGCCCGCGTGCCCTTCCTCAGCGGTGCCAGCCCCGCTACGCCGGAGGAAAGCCACCCACGGCCGAGCTGGGGACAGCCAGGTCCTCTCCAAAGCCCTGGGCCTGCAACGTATAGGGGAAAATCTTTATTTACAGCTCCTGGGTGGGAGCAGGCTGCTGCCACCAGCACCTCTAGACAGGATCTGGTGCTCCGCTTCGGTGCTAGCTGGGGGGGGGGGGGATTGACTTAATCCGGCTGTGCACTGGAATAAATCAGTGCCCGAAGAGCGGGGTCATGCCACCTTCTTGGGAAGGAAGAAAAATCACCTCCAAGTCCAGCATCCTGGAGGGAAGGGAACTGAACAAGGCTTGTTTTTTTTTTTTTTTTGTCCCTTGAGTCCCTGAGGGCATCCTGGGTGGTGAGAGATGCTGAGGGGGGAATCACAAGCTCAAGGAGAGCTAAAGGTGGAGGTGCTTTGACCAAGCCCAACCCAGAGACAGGCCACCGTGGTGGAGCAGGCAGCTCGAGGTCTGGAAACACAGGGAAATGCAGGCAGGGTCCCAGGAAAAGCTGGCAAAACGGGCAACCTCAGGAAAGTGCCTTCTGCACTGTCACCTGGAAGCCCTGGCGACTGAGAGAGCTTCCCAACTCCCTTCAGCCATCCCCTGCTTCTTTTTTTTTTTTTTTCCCAGCCCTGAGTGACTTGCCGTGATTGCTCAGAGGATGAGGACCTCAAATAGATGTTTTTCCATGACACCACTTCTCTGCAAAAGGTCTCTCCTAAAGATCTAATTAAGCAGATTCTCCTCCCAGCCACGGGCAGCAGCAAAAGGACAAACTTTCTCTTACTAGATACACGCAAAGGAAAGAAACAAACCCAAATTTGATGTATTTTGGTTGAGACAGGTCTCAACAAAAGTATTTTTTCAGGAAGCATTGCTTTTTATGAAAAACGTCACCCTCTAAAATGATTCAAAAGTGATCTCTTCTGCTCTGATCGTATTTCAATCGGGGCATTAGGTTTAACAGCCCAGATCACATAACCTGGCAGATCAAAACCACCTAAATGTTGACTTTGCCATTATTGTTCCTCGCTCAGGAAAAATGCTTCCTCCTGTGAGATCAATTTTTCAGTCCAGTTTCAGAGGGGAAAAGCAAACATCAAAACACCAGCAATTCTCACGAGGCAGCAATTCCTTTTTTCAATCAGTCCTAATTAATAACGAGCAGAAAGATCTTTAGTTAAAAAAACAAAAAAAATACAAGCAAGTATGGAGTGTGTGTCCCCTCCCCCTTTATTTAAAAGGTTTTAATTCTGTCCTTCAGCCTCCCTCTCCACACAGAGCTCAAGTTCCCTTTTCTTTTTTTAAAGCTGGTTGCCATTTCCTCTTCAAAATGCTGTTGCAATGAGGAACGGGCCCTTATAAAAATACCATTTTCGCCTTCCCCTTCTTCAGGAGAGAGGGACTGCCTCGCTGTCAAGTTTTTGCTCGCCTCGCGTGCCAGAAGCCTGCAGCCCCTCCCGCCTCGTCGGAAACCAGCTGCAACCCTTCCTCCCAAATTAACCCCAAACAGAACTGCCCCGTCGGCCAGCGTCCTCCAGCACCCCGAGCTCCGCGGGGGCTGCTCGAGAAGGAGCCAGGGGTGGGGGGGACCGGGGATGGGGGTGAGGGAGCAGAGACCTGGCAGAGGAACAGAGAGGGTGCAGGGCAGCGGTTGGGGACGTCGGGGTGGTGGGGTCACCTGCGACTGCTCCTGCGGGTGTTGGCCCCAAGATCTGCAGGCTGACACCTCCCCCCCCCCCCCCCCCCCCCCTCCTTCCCCACCCCAAAATGTGCCAGAGCTTGCAAGACCCTGCGGGAGCGATGGGGATTGAATGCACGGTGCCGGGCTGGGCTGCAGATGGGTGGGTAATGCCGGACGCGACCGCTTGCATCAGCGTCTCCGACTTGCATTGCAATCCGGCCCCGCTGGGATGGGAGCGAGGGTTCAGCAAGGAGCAAGGTGGGGGGGGGGGGGGTCAGAGCAGGGCAAGAAGCCTCCAGTAAGTCTGCCTTCCTTCCTTCTCCTTTTTATTTGAGCCCGTACACTAAAGCACATCGCTCCCTGCCCGTGCGCCAGCGCCGCCTGTCCTGCTCGAGCGGCACCTTTGGGTGCACAACCAGCACTGGCACCTTCGCCCCTCGGCACCCGAAGACGGAGGCGAGTCGGTTTTGTTCCTTTATTACACATTGCCCAGGCTTGGTAAAGCAGCAGCAGCCAGCCCCCGGCCCAAAAGCAGGCCATGGAGAGCTGTGATCGGAGAGACCTTCGCAAAAGATTGCCAAAATGGCAAATATGTTGACGGTGGGCAAAGATCCCCTTTAATCCGTGAAGTCGTGGCTGCGGCTGAGCCCGACGGCCGCTCACCGGAGCAACCCAACCCCATCGCTCTGAAGCTCACGTCGCTCTCGTACTCCAAAGGAAAGATGAAGGTAGTTTTTCTGACAGACCTCCAACGAGTTTGAGAGATATACAAGCATTTTACACCCTACAGCATGTAAAGCCTTCCCCGCTCCCCCCCCCACCCACCTCCCTCCACATATGCATGAACAGAGCATCTGTCTATCCACCCCCTCCCACCCCCACCCCCCCCCCAAAAAAAAATAAAAAACCAAAACCAAACAACCCCAAGGCATCCCAGAGCAGCAGCAATGCTTCGAATCAGAACTGCAAACACAGGGTGCATCTTTATCTAACCTTCCCAAGCACTGACAGTCTAAACACTAAGCTGCTTACATGGGCTAATGGCAATATATCCGTGCTGCGAGGCTTCATCTTTCCAGCCCCCCCCTCCCCAACCCCCCCCCTCCTCCCTGCTTCCCACCTTTCTCCATGTCCTTAAACCAAGAGTTTCTCACTCGAAACCCCTTGGCAGATCAAATACACCGTGTACAGCCCGTTCGCGGGGAGCTGCGCGGCGTACGGGGCGCGAGAGCCGAGTTCGGGGGCCAACGCGGACAAGCTCATCCGGCTGCAGGAATCCCAGCCCAGAGCACAGACCCCTCTATCTCCCCCCACCCCCACCCCCCCAACCCCGCTCTCCCACCCAAAACCCGCACACGGCAGTGTCCAAGTCTGCACATCCAGGGAGGGTTGGGAGCTACAGGTGGCTACTGCAGAGGTCGGAGAAAGGGAAGAAACTTGGCGGTCAGCGGCTGCTACGAGGAAACGCCGAACAGGTTCAACGTGGAGGAAGGAGGAGGAAAAAAACTGAGAACAAACTCAAAAGGAGGCAAAGGAGGGATGCTGGGGTTCGGGGGTTCGGATGTCTACCTTCTACGGGACAGCCAGCACAGGAGAGGAAAGGGAGAGTTGGCGTTTGGTTTGTGGGGAGTGGATTTTTTTTTTTGGTGTCACTCACGATAGAAAACATATTCGGTGTAAGAGGTCCAGATCCTGTCATCTGTCTGGTCATGGGCGAAGGCACAGGTGCCCGTGGAGTTGCAAGCCACCATGTGGAAGCCAGCATCGGCCAGTTTGTCAAAGGCTTGCTCCAGGAAGGTGAATTTGAGGTAGTACCTGGAGGTGTACCTCTCCGGGGGCCTGTCCGGGTCCCTGCTCTCGTTCAAGGTGTCCCCAAAGACCTCCTTGGCCAGCGACGTCTTGCCGCAGACCATGATCCGTGCCACCCTGCGGAACTTGGCATCCGTCTGGCTGTCCCTGCCCAGGGTGTAGGAACCCCGGTAGCCAATGGTGATGAAACCCGCCCTGCGGACGTCGGTGCCGGCAGCACCTGCGCCGGCGGTGCCGGCGCCCCCGGGGCCCCCCGCCGCCACGGCGCTGGGGAGCGTGGCACCGGCAGAGCTCAGGGTGCGGGTGGCGTCGGCGTTGGGGGAGAGCTCCTCCGGGTCGCTTTGGCACGGGTCGTCTCCCAGCGAGTTCTGCTTGCTGAGCTTGGGGGCCAGCATCTTCACAAGCTCCGGCAGCATGAAGTACTCGGCCTCTCGTTGCAGGCGGCTCCGCTCCGGGAAGTGGTCAGGCAGCACCAGCTGCTGGTCCCTCATGTAATCCAAGATGTAGCGGAAGAGAAAACCATCCCGATCCACGAAGAACCGTCCCTTGCTATCCCGGGCCAGGGAGCGGACGTTCTTCTGGGTGAACATCTCCCAGAGGAGCGAGCCGGGCACGCTGACCAGGGTGGGGTGGCGGGTGATGTAGACTTGTCCCCCCACATTGAGTTCAATGATCTCGGGGAAGGGGAAGTCCTCACTGGGTTTGGCGCTGCCCGCGTTGTCTGCCAGGGCCATAGCGAGCCGCTGCTGCCTTCCCACCTGTGACAAAAAGCAGCGACGTGCCAACGTTAAGCCTGCCAGCAAACGCAGCCCGTCGTCCCACCGAGCCCAAGCCAGCTCCCGCTTGCTTTCGGCCAGCAAGCAGCGCAGGATCAGGCCCCTGTCTCTCCGGGAGGCTGGAAGTCAGCTCTCTTTCCCCGACCCTTGGCTCTTGGGATAAGCAGCGTTATTTAACGCCGCCTTCCCTTCCGTGGCACGCCAAGGGCAGAGCATCGCCCGCGGGCTGAACGCGCCGGCTCCCATCTCCCGCCGGCCGGCTCCCCGGGGCTGGGGCTCAGCACCTTTTGCCGAAGCGACGTCATCCCGGTGTGAACAACAGGAAAGGCAGAGCCCCGTCACACCCTGCGTCTGAGCGGCGACCCGCCCCGGGGCCAGCATCCTGCCGGAGGGAGGACCGCACTACGGCACGGCATCTCCCGCCGAGCCGGAGCGGGGTTTATGGTCTGGGCAAGGAGCACCCCCAGGTCTGCCAAAAAAGCAGCGCCAGGTACCACCCTGCAGGACGGAGGGACGGCGCCTTTTGGCGCTCCTGCTCCGTCCTTGCTCCTGGAAAGTGCTCGATAAGAGACTCGGGGCCAAGCTGAGCGCAGGTGAGAGATGGTAGAATCTCTCCAAGGGTCTGGGACCAAGACAAACACCGGGCTACTGGTACAGCTTCGGGCCAGATGCCATGTATTTATACATTTTTCCAAAGGCGAGCTGATTCTTAGGCGTCTCTTGACGCTGCAAATCAGCGCTTACATAAACCTGGCTCAGCAGACGGACTCTGGATCCAGCCTGGCCAAGCCATGCTCCACGCGGGGATTTGGGAGACCACGGAGAGAAGGTTTTTCCCTGTGCCGCCCGAACTGCCTGGCAGGGGTGGCCTCAAGCTCTGCCCACCCGCCCTGTGCCACGTTAGTGCAGCCTGAGGACCGCTCTGAAGTTGGCAGTAGCTACCAGCACCCCCCACCACCACCCCACCACCCCCCCCGGGGACTGGTTCCACAGCCAAGGAACAACCCTAAATCTCAACCCCTGTCCTCGTGTCCGGCCGTACGGCTGCACGGAAGCAGCCCAAAAGGATCCAAAGGCAAATTTTGGACAAAACTAATAGGCAAAGATAAAACTCTGTGGGTGCTTTTGGGTGGCGGGGAGAGCTGAGCCTGCGTTCCCCAGCCACACGCCTCCTCCCCGCTCGCAGGGATGTTCAGGGAGAAGCGGGGTAGAACCAGGAGGGACTCGGACGAGCCTCTGCCGAGGAAAAGGCTGCAAAGATCGGGAAGAGGATCCAGCTGGCTTCCAGCTCCCCAAACCTCCTCCCGCAGTGGCTTTTCAGCCCCTTTCTCCGGTGCTGTGCCCACGCCGCTGTTCCTCCCGCTACAGAAAACCGGGCAGGAGCCCGCCGGTGCCCGGAGCTCCTCCGGCCACAGCCACGTCCCTTTGTCACGCGTGGCGGAGGCTGGGGGTGCAGCCCACAGCACGGCCGGGACTTTGCAGGGGGCGGGGTGGGGGGGATATAAAGGCAAAAGGGAAGCCGAGCCCCCCCCCAAAAACAAAACAAAACAAACGAAAAAAAAAAACAAAAAAAAACCAAAAACCAAAAAACCAGCGCCTTTGCTGTGAGGCTGCAACGCCGACCGGCACCGGGTCACAAAAAGCCCGCGGGCCACCCACGGGGACCCCAGGAGCCGGAGCTGTCCCCAGCCCTCCCCACGGGGCAGGGGACCCACCCTGCTCCCCCGCAGCCTGCCCCAGCCCTGGGGCGGGGGCTGATACCCCCCCCATCCCCTCCGGACCCCGTTACCTCCGCGGGGTGATCCGCGCCGGTTCCGCGCCGGTTCCGCGCCGGTTCCGCGCCGGTTCCGCGCCGGTTCCGCGCCGCGCCGCCGCTCCTCTCTGCCCTCCCGGTCCTGGCCCCGCCGTTTTATGGCCGGGAAAGCGGCGAGCGCCATCCCCCGCCGGCCCCGGGCCCGCCCTCCCTCCCCGCCTCCCCCCCCCCGCTGCCCGTGTCTCCCCCACCCCCATCCCTGCACCCACCCCCCCCACCCCCACCCCCCCCCCGCATCGGGAAGCTCCGCGCCGGGGCCAGGCGAAGCCAGGGAATTCCCTTCCCATCCTCCGGCACAGCAGGATTTGGCTCTAAAGCATTACAGCACCCCCCCTCCTCGGCAGGTCCCAGGGGGATGGGGGGGGCTGCCCACCTTGCCCCCCCCTCCCCAGCCCCAGGCTGGCCATGGGAAGGGGTTGGTAGCCCTTAAGGTGCACAAAGTGCTTTACTTTGTGTGGGGGGGGGGTGGTGGGAGCAGAGGCTGGCTGGTAGCCCCAGCCCCAGGGGGGGGTGCATCCCCCCCACACCCAGTGGGGTGCATCCCCCCAGGGCCCGGCACCATTTCGGCTGGCTGTGGGGGGGTGCTCAGCACAAGCCGCAGACCCGAGGGGCTCGGGGGGACCCCGAGGTGGAAGCAGTCCCCCCAAACCAGCTGGTTGCCAGAGCATCCCTCAGCCCTCCAGCCTGGCCCGGCTGTAGCCACCCTCCCGCCGTCCCAGCTCGTGTCCCAAACCCCACGCCCCATTGCCACGGGAACATCCAACTCCACGGTGCTGGGAGCGGAGAGCGCAGCTCCGACCAGCCCGTACCACCTCGCATCTGACCCAGAGCAGGATGCTCAGGGCCCGCAGATCCTTTTCCAAACGGCCGCTGCTTGTTGGAGTCCTTTCTGCCCCATCTTCACCGACACCTGCCCCGACGTCAGGGCTCGGGGGCACAGCGAGGTCCAGAGACAGGGAATCAGGGATGGAAACCAGGTCGCTTTTTCTGCCCCACGCCATTTGCTCCGGGACTGTTGAAAACTTCCACTGATTTGGTCCATGTTGCTGTTCCGGGGAGAATTTTATATTCTTGAGCTGTAGGGACTGAAGTCCCCTCTCCCAAGGTACAAAGAACATGCGGTGGGGTGCGAAGAGCTTAGCCTGTTGTGGTGACCTGCTTGTTAGTGCTAGTAAAGCCAGGAATGAGAAGAGAAAATCCACCTCTTTGCTGTTTGTTTAAAAAGGCCAGTTATCTGTAAAGACAGGAAAATAGAATGACTCCAAACAACACCTCAATATTTGCCCATTTCCTAAAAGTCTGATGAAGGCCACCTAAAATCCAGCTTTTTTGTGACAGTGCAGCTGATGTATCTATGACTCAATTTATGTTTACCTGTCAAATATTGTAAGGGCAGAAGATATAATTTCTACTCCACCTAAAGACCAGATCCTGCACTGACTCTGGGAACTTAGGTCCAAGGAATTTTTCTGTTTGGGTTTCTCATTGCTGGTTTCTGGTACCCCAGCAGTATCACTGCACAGATGTGTGACACGGTCGCCAAAAATACAGTCAGAGCTGGGACATCTCTCTGGATCAACAAGCTGGGATGCTGTTCCCTGGGTCTGAAAGAATAAATCTTTGACTTGCTATAGCCATTCAAAGCCCACCTGAAGAACGCCCTGCCGTGGGGAAGCAAACGTGGCATGGCTATGCAAATTGTTCCCGGTGGAAAGGAGAGCCGTGGCGTTAAAATGGGCTCATGGATCAGCTTTTGCATACATCCCGCTTATTTTTCTATAAATTTCTATAAATTCTATCCACCAGCAGTCCTTGCAGGTAAGCAGGTGGGAGCAGTCCCTGAAAAATCCCACGTTAGCAGAGGTGTCTTGGATTCAGCAGCATCCTGTGAATTCAGGGTTTGTGATTGCTAGCGATGGGGATCAGGGCTGCGAAGGTTACCTGTTCACGCATTGAAACAGGAACTTTCCCATGTGCATGTTTTGTGGAATGTATTTATAGATGGGGAAAGTTTAAAATGCGATAGGGTGTTTTGAGATTACAGAAATGAACAACAAAAAACGCCCCAAATTAAAAACTAAACAAAAACAAAACAGTAAGGGGAAATGAGGAATGTTTTTCACATCGTAACTTTTTACCTCAAAACTTTGTTTCATCTGAAAATGCTACAACTTAAGAGAAAAAGATGTTGAAAACTTGGAGAGCCAAATTCCTCCTCACCAGATTGTTTTATAAAATGATTGTGGATGGGTATTAGACCTAACCAAAATTCTGGCTGGGATGGCTGGCTGGCTGGATAGATGGATAGATGGATGGATGGATGGATGGATGGATGGATGGATGGATGGATGGATGGATGGATGGATGGATGGATGGATGGATGGATGGATGGATGGATGGGTGAGTGGATGGATGGGTAGGTGGATGGAGGGAGGGAGGGAGGGAGGGAGGGAGGGAGGGAGGGAGGGAGGGAGGGAGGGAGGGAGGGAGGGAGGGAGGGAGGGAGGGAGGGAGGGAGGGAGAGAGGGATGGATGGATGGAGGGAGGGAGGGATGGATGGAGGGAGGGATGGATGGAGGGAGGGATAGATGGATGGATGGATGGAGTGGGTGAATGGGTGGATGAATGGATGGGTGGAGGATGGAGATTGCTTTGCTCAACAGGAAGCATCTTCTTTGAAAATGGCCTGTGGGCAAATTCTGTCACCACGATCCTGTTTGCTTGGTAGGGTTGGGTCAGGATGAAATCCAGTGTTTTTCTCTCTCAGTCTCCTGAAGACCTGATCCAACGTGACTGCAAGTTCATTGAAAAATTCCCAGTGAATTTTCAGCTCTGTGAGGCTACAACTCTCTATCTCTGGAAGATGCCTTGATCCCAACCATAATCAAAGTTACTGGTTCAGCACTTCAGACCATCCTCCTTCTCACCCATCCTGGCCCACTAGGCACTTTCAGAGAAGCAAAGGACACAGAAAAAAAACTTTCTGCACCAATTTCTGCGCTTCCCCCCAACCAAAACCCTGGTGCTAGTCTTACAAAACTTTACCTGATGCCAGCATGGGCAGATGTGGACTAAGGAGCCCTGATAAAAACACTTTTGGACACAAGCAAATGTGAGCAGCCAAATGCAAATAACAGGCAGGCTGTGTGCGGGCAGCTATGCTTTGCATTAAAACCCCCGCTGCGGGCTGTAACCCCATAAAACACCCTCATGTGGCTACTGGGATGGGTTGCCCATTCAACGTCCCCCAAGCCACAAGGACTGGGGGCTGTGGGTTTTTTTTTGAAAGAGCTCCTGTGGCTTGCTTTTGCCTCCCAGCACCGGTGCAACAAGGGCAAAGGATCTAAATGTGCGGGAGGGGAAAGGAAAGCTGGAGGGGGTTGTTCTGATGAGTGTACTAACCTTTATTTGCTGGAAGTACTTACATGAAGTTTCTCCTTTGTTCAGTCCACAATTTTCCCCAACTCTGTCAGAACGTGATCCCTTCGAGACCTTAGAGTACTCCATCAAACTTAGTTGATATCGCCCAAAGAATTCAAAATATACGGGGGAGGGCAGACGCAGAGGCACACTGTCTCGCACAGCACGCACGCATGCGTGCCTGCGCTGCAATCATATTAATCTTGTTTCCTTAGGAAACGAGCCTAAAAATAACCTGAATTTGATAATGCCTTTGGAAGGCTACAAAAGCAAGGCTGCCCTGGGGGAACTAGCTGGTGGCTCTCCAAAGAAAATGCTCTGCCTAGCGCCCTTGGCAAGGTGGCATCCCTGCCTGGAGCGGGACATGCAAGGCTGGGGACCTTATTTTGGGGTCAGCGGGGTTATCCATCGTGCTGAGAGAGTCGGGGTGGGAGCCCAGGACAGGCATGGTGAGAGGGGGATAGCGGGGGAGATGCTGGTGCCAAAGTCTTGGGGATTTGTGGAGAAAACGTCGTTTGCCCCAGCTGCTCAGTGCTCCAGGCACGTAGCAAATACGTCAAGGTGTGTATTTACCCCGTGTCTGTGCCACCACATCCTAGAAGAGCAAGCTCAGCCCCTCTCCCTCCGGCCGCCGTTTGGGCTGGAGTGGTGAATATTAAATGGAACTTCCTCCTCCTGTTGGCGTTCAGATGGATTAGACTCATTCTGCCTGCAAATTCCTGTCCAGAACCCTCAGAGCAAGAGCTCAGCCCTCGACAATTCTCACGCCGACGCTTGTCTTGGCGCGACGCGACGCTGCTGCCTTCAAGGGACCTTCTCCTCTAAGTGAAAACTCGCTCTGCTGCTTTAGTGCTTTGTCCTCCACGTTACCGTGATCCAGATTGGTGCAAATATTTACATGGGCTGCAAGGGAAAGCAGCCAGGCCACTGCTGACACGTCTTGAGGCAACTTGAAGCGTGATCTCCAGAGAAAGGGAAGGCGTTTGGCACCGTAGAAGCGATGAGGGGGTCTGGAAACTCAAAATAATTTGCCAAGAGGTTTTATAAACCAGCCTTTACAAGTTCTTCCAAAAAAAAGAATGAAATGAGAATTTGGGTCCCTCTCTGACTTCTGAAGACTTTTATCAACCGCAACAGTGGACTGTGATTCATCCACGTCCCAAGAGAAGGAAGGAATGGGCTTAATGTGTGTGTGTGTTTGTGTCCACTCTGTTATTACACAGAATGTGGTCTGGAGATTGCAAGGAAGGCGCTGGCATAACTTCCTGGCTGCTATTTCCAGCTCTTCATGTTTTCAGAGCTTGGACACGATTCACTTCACCTCCCGGTGCCTCGATCTCCTCATCCGCAGAGTGGGGGGTCCTGCCCGCTCTCCAGTCACCGTGAGCATCGCTAAAAGCCCCATTGTGCTGTTCCAAAACTCTTTGAAAGGTCTTTAAATATGTATTTTTTAAGGGCTGAAAGGACTATAAACTGAAAATAAGACACAAATTTTTCCATTGCCTGATTTTTTCTCGGCTAAAAATGAAAAAAAAAAAAAAAAAGAAAAGAAAAAATCAGTTATGCGCCCTGCTCCGATGATGATCTTGTGATACATCACGTTGCAAGGATGTTGTCGCAGAGAACCGATGCTGCTACATCTGCTTGATCAGTTTCTTATCTAG